ACACAGCATTTCCGACCATAACAAGGCCAAAAAATAAGAGGTGTGGGTGCCACACCGGGGGGGGACGGCCTACTACTACTACTGCTACTACTACTACTACTACTACTATCACTACTACTATCACTACTACTCCTGCTACTCCTGCTACTCCTGCTACTCCTGCTACTACTGCTACTACTGCCACTACTGCTACTACTACTACTACTACTACTACTACTGCTACTCTATCCTCTTCCTGCTGCTGGTGCTGCTGCTGCTGCAGCAACGACAGCGATTTAGACGACGACGACGACTGCTACTGCTACCAAGACAAAATCCGGTAGTGTACCTCCGGTTGTACCCAAATCTTGAAGCTTCCCTAGAAACCCCAAAGTTCTAACTCCAAGCCAAAAACCTTTCGAGGTGCGGCGATGGCCGCCGCGCTGCGCTGCAGCGCAGCGGCGGATGTGTCTTTGCAGGAGCTGCACTTGGACCGCCCCTTGGATCGGGGGGTTACAGGGGCCTTGAGGCTCTAGATTGGGTTTATGTAGGAACCTGATTAAGAAACCCCGGTCCCACAACCCCAGAATAGAGCCTTGATAACCAGGTTCCTTTTGTTAGGGCCTCCAGGGTTTGGGATCTAGAGCCTCAGTGTTCGGATTTTTCGGGTTCTAGAATCTTGGGAGAAGAAGCAGACCCATTAGATGCGAAAAACTTTCTATGGAGGACGAGGTGCAAAGGCTTTTTGGTGTTTAAATTTCCAAGGAGCCAACCAGCCTCGAGCCCTTCCAGCGAGCCTAGCCCAGCCATCCCCCAGCCCACCCAGCCCAGCCCACCCACCCCACCCAGCCCAACCCGGCCCAGCCTAGCCCACCCAGCCCACCCAGCCCAGCCCAGTCCAGTTCCCAGACAAAAGCAAGCGGAAAACCCAACTGCAAGCAATCGGAGAACCCAGCCCCAGCCCGGCGCCCAGCCCCGCCTAGCCCATTTCCCTACTCCCCATCCCCAACCCGCCCCAACCCAAAACCCTGTAAACCATATTCCCACCTAGCTCCAAGCTCCAAACCTCCAAAAGCTACAAACGCTACCAGCCCGAACCCAAACCCCCAAACACCCCAAGCCTTGTGTCCCAAGCCCTCCCAACCCCTCCATCAGTGTAGGACACTCCCCATCCTTTAATTCAGGGACATTCCCCAAGATTATAGTCGGGATCCCGTCGTCTGGATTCAGTGAAATGATTTTCCGCCTGAAACCAAGCAGTCGGGGGGAGCGTGAATCCTCAAACTATTAAGGCCCTTATGTTACACACGAAGCCCTAAACCCTAAACCCTAATATAGGAGCCTAAATAATAGTAGAATCGGCCCCAAAACCCTCTGCTAATTATTAAGGTCCCTATATTGCACCCAAAGCCCTGGGCTCAGAAAACTCAGGGGCCCTAAACCCTAAACCCTAAACCCTGAACCCTAAACCCTAAACCCTAAACCCTGAACCCTAAACCCTGAACCCTAAACCCTAAACCCTAAACGCTCTGCAGCTCAGGCAATGCCCTGGGTGCCCAGGGCGTCGTCGCCTTGGCTGAGGCCTCGCGGAGCTTAGGGTTTAAGGGGTTAAGGGGGTTTAGGGGTTTTAGGGTTT